TGGTAGCAATCCTACAGCAAATGTACTCCGATGTTTCTTTGGAAGACAACTTTTGCGAAGAGACTCACAAACATCCCAATACGAATGATCGGAGCTGATTTAGCCAAACAATACTCTTCCAACCATAAGACTGCATCTCAGACAGCGGTGGAAATCTAGACATCGGTAGTGACGCACATGATCGGCCGTGTGCATGACAAGACATCTTCCAACCTTAACCTCAGACGAGCTATTGAGACATCCCTTCCCAAACATAAACCCTCAGTCGAACATCTCCTGAAACGCAAGTTGCACCAGCTGCTATAATAGGCCCTGATCCAACTGTGGTCGCCCTTGCATCTTTAAGTCCAGGGGCTATGGTTGAGAACACACTTGCAGTTCCGACAGGGGTCACAGTGATGATGGCGAAGGTAGCAGTGGCAACACTTCTGGGTGCGACTTATGTATGGTCCTTTTCACGGACCCACAGAGTTCGTGCTGAGTCGCTTCAAGTTGAAGTTGTGTCGTCACCGACAGCTCTGCCCTAAACAACCCTATACCCTGAACCCCAAACCCTAACAGATCCCTTTAAAGGAACCCTTAAAAGGACCCCTAAACCCCTAAACCCTAAAACCAACAACTGCTGGTGATCTGATCCTTGGGTCACTCCATCCCAGCCTTCCTGAGACCTTAACCATAACTATGGAAGCTAACTTCTTGCCCTGAGCCCTAGCTGGTTTTTTTTTTTGTAAGGTGCAGTGGCTCTTTCTCCGCTGGCTGCAGGTCCGGATGCCTGCCTCGAGGCGAGGCTTACACCGACAGAAGAGAAAAACACACAGGTGCCCAGCTACTCACGCATGACCATCTCGCCCACAGACTCCGACTGTTTGTTACCCATCCCGACTGCGACTGCGCTCTCTTGCCGTTCCTCCCGAGGTCGTCTGCTCACGATGTCCCGAAGGTTCTGCAGGATGCCCTTGACGACGACGTACAGATTCACGGACAGCGACAGGTACGAGGGGACGCGAAGCTCGAGCGGCACGACGACGGGCTGCACGGTGTCGACGGAACTCAGAGGCCGGTACGGCGTGCTCCGCTAGAGTGTCTTGTTGTACGGGGACCACTCGCGGCGCAGGACGGGCATGTTGAGCTCTTCGACGCTGACCACTCCTCTGGTGGTCCCTAGCTGACAGAGGAAGGGGAACCCTTGTCGGCCAGTTTTGCACAGGAAGTTCGCCATCTGCTTGGACAAGATAAAGTTCTTGGTCACCTGGATCTGGCCATCGACCTCGTGGTACATCCCTACCTCCAAACTGAAACAAGTCTTCGACGTGGTGCCTCCAGCCCCGCCGGCGAAGCGCGGCCCAGGTGTGTTCCGGCAAGCCCTCCATGGCGTGTTCGACTTCACTCAGGGTACTCGGAAGGTTCGGATGCAAGAGCACTGCCGGCGAGTTCACCCACGTAGATCCATCCATCGTTGCCAAGGCAGATCCCTGAGCAGCCTCTCTGACGATGGCTGCCCATATTTGGCGTTCATGTATGTTGGCATTGAATGGAACCGCATTTCTCGGTGTGAGGCTCCATCTCTGTACTTCGTCCAGGGCCACCTGTGTAAGGCGGAGTACATGCAAGAGCCGACGCTGGTGAACAAGAAGTCGGCGCGTCAGTTCTTGCACGTCAGCTTCTCCAGCATGCACAAGTTGATGGTTGACCGCATCTCTGACTGCTTCCTCCGTCGTTGGCCTCCCCGTCGACGTGGTCGTAGTCGTACAACAAGTCCCCCCAGCAGGTAGGGCCAGGTAGGTAGTAGACAGCGAGCAAGTCGAGTTCCACGAACATGGAAAAGTCACCCACGAGGTCAAAGTCGAGCAAGTAGCAGACGTCGAGCATGAGGAAGTCGTGGAAGTCGTGGTCGTACAGGTAGTGCAGGCTGTAGTTACCCCCAAGGACCATGTCTCCGGAGTCTGTAGGAAGAAGACCTCATCATCGTCGTCATTCTCGAAGATGTCTCCCTGCAGCTCAAACTCGGTTGTGGTAGTGGTAGTGGAACTGGAAACCACATTGGCACAGACACAGGAGCTCGTGGCAGGATCGGCTTCAGTCTCAGCAGGTTCTCTCCAAAGGCCTTGTAGCTCCACTGGTGCGAGGTGCAACGGAAAGTTCGCGGGCATCTCACCATGCGAGCTGTTTTGAGCCACCTCCGACGAACTTGACGGTTCATCTTCCGATCCTCTCGCCACATCAATGACTGAGTCCATGGGCGCCTCATGGGATGTAGCAGCCAAAGCCCGAGGCGATCTGCTACGGCTGCGAGGTTCACTGGAGGAACTAAGCTCACTCTCTATCGGTTGAAGGGGGGTCCGAAGGTGGTGCTCCATGTTGTCGAGGAAGAGCGGGATGAATTGTCTCACCCAGCGGAACATGTTCCATCTGCCTTGCTCTGTGCGGGGCACCCGTGTCACAGGTAGTAGTCCTCGCGGTACAAGACGGCGTCGTAGGACCTGGAGGACAGCTTGCTGGGCGTCAGCACCTTCACTTGCCCGTTGTACGAGCCTGCCAAACGCCCACCTGCTTTCAGGGCCAAGTCCCGAAGCCTCCTGCCTGTCCAGTGCTGCCAACATATCTGACACCCTCTGGATGTGACTTTGGGAGACCCCGTATTCTTGCAGGGTCGCAATCTCGCCATTGGTGATGGCCATGCGACCATGGGTCTCAGGATCAATGGCCTGAACATCGGGAAACAGGCCAGCATTAGGGAAAACAGGGAACCCAGGATTCTGGGCAGCTTCATTCAATGTAGTCGAGGTCGAGGTCGATGTAGTGGACAACCAACTTGAGGAACTCGGCCAGCTCCAAGTCGCCAAAGTCCAGGGATGACGGAGAGAGGCAGGAGGACCAAAGGCAGCGACATCACCCACTGTTGTCACATTGATCGTAGTGGTAGAGGTTGTTGAGCTCCAAGTCCACTCATCCCATCCATTCTCCTCCCACCAGTTCCACGTCGGCGTTGTGCCTGTGCTTTCCCACGACCATGGCTCCCACCAGCCTGTCCAACTCCAGTTCTCAGCAGCAGAGTTGTCCACAGTCAACTGCGAGTCCGGATATTGCCAGGGCTCCTCTGGGCTCGCCACTTCTTCATGTGCAGGAGGAGGAGGAGGATCAGAGACAGATTCAGGCGCAGCTTGAGGTTGAACATGACAGTTCGGTTGTGCAGCTGCAGCTTGGCGTGCTTCCTTGTCTTTGGCATACTGCCGTAGCCACGCGGGCCTCCAAGTGCCAGCCATATATTCTGCAACACGAGCGGCTTTTCGTTCCATGCGAGTGGTGCCTCGCCCCCCTTGATGCGATCGTAGTTCTGCAGGAGTGCGGGGTCGAGCATGCCAGACTCCGTGTTTATAAAATCCCACATCCACAGAGCTTGCACTTCCAGTAGACGAGGAACCTCCACCTTCTGAATCACCATGATACTGATCACCGAAAGACGTGCTGGTGTCATCTGGGATCGTCGTGCTCATATCATCACTCGAAGAAGTTGCTGTTCCCCAAACCTGGAAAGCTTCACCATAGAAGGTGCGCGCTTTCACAGCCGGGCCATCTGGGTGTTGTGCGGCACCTTCGATTTGGAATGGTGCAGTCTCAGGCCGGGTAGGGCCGGCATCGGACTCAGCAGCGAGGCGCTCACGTCTCCTGCTGTGGACCGTCCCATTCGCATTGTGCCACCTGTCACGGCCTGATCGCTGAACACCCCATCTTTGCGTGAGGCCATGCTGCAACTCGCTACTGTTGGACCCAGACGATGTTGCAGTCGACATCGACGAACCTAATCTTGCATGTTCATTCGCCTCAGTTGGTAGTACCTGGGTGTCAAATGCATTTCCTGGTTGTGCAGGTGCAGATACAGGAGGTCGATCACGAAGTTGAAAGCCCTCTTGTCCTCGAAGATTGCGGTGATCTCTCACTTGATCCCACCAACTCGGCTCATGAGCAGCAGGTTCAACTTCTTGTGGACGTTCGTGTGGACGGTGTGCTTCTCCGGTGTTCTCAAAAGGCAGGGGCATGTCCTCCGGAATCGGGGAAAGTGCCGAAACATCAGCGGGGAGGGCCAGGGTACCATGAGGCTCATTCAGGAACTCAACCACTGCTTCCTCTTGAAGTCCCCAACAAATATCTTCGTCCCATGCCTCCGCCATTCTCATCATGATTTCCTCCTGCGACCAGGGACGTAGTCGCGAAGGGAGGGGGTCACTAGACGAAGCAGAAGAAGATGCCGGCACAGGGGACGAAACAGTCACCCCCACTTGTGAGGATGCCATTGGTCTCAAGGACGGTGACGTCACCCAGGGTGGAGGCTGCGATGAAGACGAAGAGCTGGTCGAGGTACTCGTAGGCCAGGAAGACGATGTAGTTCCCAAATTCCCCGGAGGGCCACATGTAGACGGAGAAGACAACGCCGACGAGGTAGAAGTCATCCCCATTGTAGCGGTGGTCGCAGGTGGAGCCGAGGCCGATGTGGGAGCGAGAGTTATGGCGCTTGAGGAGGCGGAAGTCGCAGTAGGGACCGGTTCGGCGCCCGAGTGTCCAGGCATGGAGTTCCAAGCGGGCCACTGTGAAGAAGAAGCGCCATCCCATTGTGTCTCCCATTCATCCCAAGCGCGAGGTTGCCACGGTTCATCTTCATGGTCTTCCCACGGTCCCGCCACGGAGAGTGTCAACCATGCGAAGAGCAGCAGGGCGGACATGGATGCGGTACACAAAGGTCGGGAGGAGACAAGGCTTCAAACGTTTCGAGCCTGAGTAGAGACAGCGAGACAAGGGCGCGTCATTGTTCACTGAGAAATTTCATGCTGGTCAGCCTCAGATTGTGTAGTTCACGTAATGTATAACCGACATGTAGTACATCAATAGTGCGACAGCGAGAAGGGAAGGCATGCGAATTGCCCAGTTGCATCATGCAGAGACGAGAGGTCAGTCACCCTGTAGCGACTTCATTTTCCGTCTCCAGCACAGTGCAGGCGAGCAATCTAAAGTGTCAGGGCCAATTGTCGTCCTTGACACCACTTAACATCCCACATTCGAAGGAAGTCTGTACGGTTTTGCGACCAGCAGTGACGATCTTTGGCAAGCTCAAACCATCTCACACCATGCGCATCTGCTAACTGGCGTTCCACATTGGCAATAAACACCCATCTTGGATGTCTTTTGCCAGTCCGTGGTCCCAACGTCTGTTGTTGACGCCACCATGCTGTGTTTCTCCAAAGGCAGGCGCGCATTGGAAGGGAAGGCACTGGGTGAGGCAACCCGACAATGTCTTCTTCGCGCCGGGCCCAGTGGCCAGCGAGCGTGTGTTGTAGGCGGAGAATCACGCTGGACCACCGCTCACGATTCATGCTGGCTAACCATGCTCTACAGTGTCGCATACTGCGGGCATTCCATTCATGCCAGCGTTCGTCTCGTTGACGACCTATGCGAAACGCTGAGCGCATGATGTGAACTTGCAGCATGTTTGCCTGTCGAAGATCTTCAGGGGTCCAATGCACAGCACCAGCAGTCCATGAAAACTGACTCTCTACAAGTGTGCGCATCATGTCTGCTTTCTTTGACCAACTAGCATGGCCGCGAAGAAGTTCTTTGTGGACCATGGCCGCGTCTCGAGTGCGACCCAGCAATTCCCGCGCTTGCTGCGATGGTTTAGCCCGAAGCGAGAAGGAGAGTCCCAAGACTTTCACGGAATCCTCAGGGGCTGCAATCTCAAAGCTGGACTCCCCGATCTGCACCCTTCTTGGACCACTGTAGTACGCAGATGAAATAATCTTCGTTTTCTCAGTCGCTAGATGTAGTCCATCGCGTTCAAGACAGCGCTCGAGGATCTTGATCTTGCGAGCGAGGCGTGCCAGGATGGTCTCGACAATGAAGATATCATCTTGATAGAACACGAGCTCAATATCGGAGTCCTCGAAGGCTCGACCAAGTTCACCCCAAGCGCGTTGTGCTGTCAACTTACTAAGGATATCATCCATGACAAGTCCGAAAACTTCGGCACTCTCGGGTGCACCTTGTTTGATGCCAACATTAGCATCAACATTGATGACGTCACCCCCTGGAACTTGACCTTTGAGTCGATAGGTACGCAACTGGCAACTGGCAAAGGAGATAGCGTAGCTCATGCTCAAGGTCTTTGTCCCTGAGCTTGCCCTTGAGGAACTCCATGATTTTGACACGGTCTATTTTGTCAAACGCACCAGAGATGTCGAGCTTGCACAGTAAAGTGGGGAGATGCCATTCTTGCGTGACATCTCTAACGCGGCTTACAGTGCCAATGACATCTGCTGCCTGTCTGCCTTTGCCACAGCCAGAAATCAGGGAGCCAGCCCTCATGTGAGGCATGACTCGTCCGCAGATGAGTTTGTTGATCATCTTATGGAACGCAGAGCTAACACAGATTGGGCGCAGGTCACCTGGGCGCTTGGGAAAGTCAACTTTGGCGAGGAGTGCCAGGAAGTTGTCCGTCCAAATCTCCGTCCGGTAGCTCACAGGTCTCCACAATGTGGTTCACAAGAGCGAGCAACTGCGGAGCGATAAAGTCATCGCTTGCAGCTGCACGTAGGAACTGAACACTGATACCGTCGGGACCGACAGCGCTATGGACTTTCATGTCATGCAAAACTTCCCGCAACTCAAGCAAAGTGAAGCCGACAAAGTCATCCCGAACCTGGATCACCTCGATTTGTTGCTGCAAGATGTCATCCCAATCCTCGGCAAATTCGTTGACCAATTTGTGCTGAAGATGCGTCTGAACTTTCACAGTGAGGTCCTTGGATGAGCGTCCGCGAAGAAGTTCCCCCCACCATCCTCTGCGACGTTTCTTTTCTCTTTGGAGCATACGATATTCATGCCAGTTGCCGTTGAGGATAGAAGAAAGCCTCCATGAGTGCCAGGTCCTCCTTGCTTGTCTACGGATGCGGTGCACGTTCTTCCAGGCCTTCGGGTCATGAGTAGCACGTGCATGGGCAATGGCCTGAGTCACTTCATCTGGATCACGATAGGCTGTGCTGGTTCTTGGTTTCGTACACTTCTTAGCGAGAGTTGCCAGGTCCTCGGCATCAACAATGATTTCCGCGGGCAACTCTTGTGTCATGTAGCGTGCCCTGGAATCATTCCCCCAACGACAAGGGGAAGTTTTGCCACCGGTCACGTCGCAGAAAAGTAGGGCATGATCAGTGCCAATGATATGACGTCGGTCAGGATCGATTGATGTGTTAGTGGTAGGAAGACGTCGTGCCCAAACTGCATCGATCTGTCGTCCACGGCGCCGACGATCACGAGGAAAATGGGTAGGCTGGTTCCACTGTTCTGGACGTGGGGCAATAGGTTGGATGTCATTGTCCAGGAGTGAGTTGACCAAGACGTTCAGATTCGAGCTTGCATTGACCACAGTGTCCCGACCATCAGTATCTCGGCTCCAAGACACCTGCTCGTTCGCATCAATGCCACACCATGCCGGGTACTGTCTCCACTTTTTGGGGCAGTCATGTATGAACTGTAACACGGCCGCCTGGTATATGGCATTCGTCGCACCTGTATGGCAATGCATGCTCCCGATGACCACACGACCTAGTCCTCGCAGTCTTGCCAGGACCCATATTCCACGATTGGTCGCACATTTATCCACGATGGAGTCAAGCTTGTCAATTGCAATTCCCACCCCTACGGCTCGCCACTGGTTTGGGGCTCGGTGTAAAACCCAATGAAAAAGATCGCTCTCATCAGTCATCCACTGAACATCACCCCGTGAAACTTCTTGCACACAAACAATATCAAGATCTCGCCCAGCAATATCGACTTTATGGACATCTTGTCCACCGAGGTTCCAGGAAGAGAATCTTCCCCACCGATGTCTTGCACGCGCCTCTTGTCGAGTCCCACGTGAAGTCTTTGACTGTCCGCGGTTGGTATGGCCAAGATCCTGAGATGAATTCTCCCCTTCGTCAGGGGCGAAACCTGCCTGTTTGGTTCACAGCTCTCTTTCAAAGGCGGACTTCGCCGCCTCAGCCGTGCACCCAGCGATGAGCCCGATGGCGTCCAAATTCACCCAACCTCCCGTCATCAAGATTGTCTCCGCGTCTTTCGGCTTGCGGTGGGTGGAGGAGGCCAACTTATGAATCCCACACCAAATTGTGCCGGCGTTCCAATCCATGTCGTACGCGCCCTGTTGGAGGTGCATTTCATTCAGGACACCGCCTCCATCATCTTTACTCTCACCCACAAGGTCAATCGTCACGCGTCGCACCATGCTGATATGGGAAGAGCGGGTCCTCGCTGTACGAGTCTTCACGAAGGACACCCACATCGTACGATCTTCACCGTTAGTGCGTGCACTGGCAATGGCAAGTTTGAGCTTCGCTGCAATCTTGATCACCTGCCACATGCGTCCCTTCACCTCCTCAAGCGATCGTTCACCTTCTCGAAGTGCAAATTTAACAGTGCCCACGCTGCGTCTTGGACCATAAACGGAAATCTTATCAACGTCCAGGAGAGGCGCGATCTCGGGATGGTCGAAGAGAGCTCGGGACTCTTCCTCGATCACCTGGCGACGAGTGTCCTGGCACCAGCCTCCGATGATGAGAGTGCGTCGGTCTTCTTCTGAAAGAAAGTCACCCTCCATGGATACCTGCTTGTGGGCATCATTGTCGGGTGCCTTGCCTGGTGTCATCCCCGGTGCAGACCCATGCCTCATCGATGGAGCTGGCCATGGTGCACGACCTTGCTGTTGTTGGCGAATATAGTCCGCCCAAGGGTCCTTGGCTGCCCCCGTGGGCTCTGTCTTGTTCTCCTCAAGCTGCACCTTCAGGTTCTGGACTTCCTCTGCAAGCTTGTCAACACGTTTGTCGCAAGCTTCAACGGAGCTTTTGTTCAGCTCCGCAATTTTGCGGACTGCCATGACATCCTTTTCAACGACTTTGGTCCTGCCTGCAACTGAAGCAACTTCACCCCGGCGATCTTTGTCAAGTTTTTCGAGGCGCCCAAGCCTGTCTTCAAAGGTCTGCCAAGCAGTTGTCATGTCTTTGCGATGGTCGAGCAGTAAGGCACGAAGTTCGCGGGCTGTGAGGGGTTGGTCACTTCCTCGCGATGGTCGCTTTGAAGGGCTTTCTTCTTGATCGTCTTCTTCATCTTCCTCACCTCCAGATTTTCCACGATCACGGTCACGAGCAGCACGTCGTTTCTTCTTCATCTCAGCCTCCCTCTTGCGTTTCTCCAGCTTGGGCTCCAGGTCCACGTCCGAGGACTCCTCTGCAAGTTCAGTTGGCGATCCGACCTCCTCACCTTGCTCAACTTGCATGTCCCCCTCACCCTCCGCCATCAAGAACGTCTCCACGCCAACGAGGAGGAGGAAGTGGAAAGAAGAAGACAACGTGCAGCAAGCGATTTCACCCCACAGACCAGTGCCAAAAGTGTCACCCTCCGACCAGCAGCACAGGCTAGATGAACAATGCCAGTCCCCAGCCAGCAGCGACCAGAACGAGGCCCACCTGAACTCACCCACGAAGAAGAAGCACTGGCCGCCAGGTTCACCCCACTGTCCACAGTGCCAGGGCGAATCGAAGTGGTAGAGGAGACACAGGACCTGGCCGCCAGTGATTGCCTTCACGATGTCGCACAATGACGCAGCGGAGAAGGGACAGGTTAGGGGAAAGAAAAGACGGGTTCGGGCCAGACAGCTTGAGCCGTAGCCATTTCAGGCTTTAGGGTATAGGGTTCAGGGGAGGCCCTAACTAAATTACCCACCCATTTCAGAGCATTCGGGGGTATCTGAACCGTAAACGGCCCACGGCCTGCCTGCTTTGAGGACTCTAACAACCAACAGGACAGCCCAAGTAGCTCAAGCACACCTGCGAGATAAGATGGGTGTGATTCTGACCTGCATGTACCTGTAGGAACCAAAATAACGTATAGAAGCTCTTGCAATAATCTTACGCTTTAGTAATGCTATGTGAAACAGTGACCAGGATCCTAAAGACCCACCAAACGCCCCAATCTCCAGAGCAACCGTTGTGCAAGAAAGCTTCGAATGCATCTGGATCAGCTTGTAGACCCGGTGCTGGGATCGTCCTCACGGTTGGGGTGTAGGTTTGGGGGTGTTTTGGGTTCTCCCCACCCACGCAGTGGATCCTGATGTAGCCTGACTAGCAAACCACTTGGTGAAGGGCTCTGCACCCCGAACCTTAAACCCTCAAGCCTTGAACCATGTACCCTTAAACCGTAAACCCTGAAACCTAAACTCCAAACACTCTACCCACTGTATAAGCATATGTATATCTGTATGTGTATGTCTATATGTATATGTGTAAAAGCATGTGCACATGCATCGGTATACGTATATGTACATGTAGTTATATACCTATGCACGCATCTATATACATATATATATATATATCCATCCATGTAGGTATGTGCGCATGTATGTATGTACCTATGCATGTATGTATGTATGTATATCAGATAACAGATGTATTTAGCCCCTTATGCCTTGATCATAGTAACTAGAAGTTACGGAACACTGGAGAGTTAGTAACTGATCAGTCTTACCCACGGAACTCCAACCCATGTCGTCGACATCTCCGAACGAAGTTCATGAGGCGCTATGCACAGCGACAAAGAGCTACGGCCCCATCTACTGCCGCATCTACCAGCATTCTCGGGGTACTGACGTCGAACACCGGAACCCGTCTCCTCGGTGTGATCATACCCACTGCAACATCGTTCTTGATGAAGTTGCCGGGCTTCACGTTCCTGGGCATACAAGGATAATGGCTAGGAGCATCTCGCTCATACTAGGATATTGTTGCACATGCGTCTCCCGTGGAAGATTCATGCTACTACTGCGACCTGGGCAAATCTGATCGCCTGACTAATCGGAACAGCTAGGGGCATATCCTATCAATACTACTTTCATTCTCCGCCTATCGGCTCTTCTTTGATTCCTTTCTCCACAAAATTGCTATAGCGGCTTTCATTGATGATGTGGTACAAACCTTTAGATACCATGACTGCGATGTGTACTTCCTGGCACATACAGTTGGTAGTCTTGTACAGTTGCAGCATCTATCGTTGTCAACTCTACTTTTGGCCCGGCATTTAAATTCAACTTCTAGTGCACTTCTCGCTGTGAAGTACACGACACATTCAACATCACGTATCAAATCTGCTTGTACTGACTGCTTCTTCGGCAGCTGATGCTTCTGCTGTTGCTGTCGTCGTGGTCCACCTGCTTCAGGTATCTTCAGGTATTTGCTGATTCTGTTGGTTGTTGCGGGCGTCGGCGTGCAGCTCTGAGGCATCGCTGATGTAGCAACAACGGAGGCATCGCTGATGTAGCAACAACGGTCTTCCGAATCACCAACAGGAAAAAACATGTTTTTCTTGACGTTGTGGCACTAACCAGGGAAACAGTCACGACCGCCATCGCGATGGTATTGAGAGCCGCGCGGGCTCTGACAATGTTGTGAGTGACACTTCGTGGATAGGTGGGGCGGCTGCAAATTACGATGACGATGGCTTCGGTACTACAGCGACGAGTGGCCAGATGACTTGAATGCAGCTCATCAGCGGCCAATGCATCACTGACAAAGCGAGCCGTTAAATTTCTTCGCTCTTCACACTCATTCTTCAATGACCCGCTAGCGGCAAATTGGCACGTGCAGAAAGCAAGAGACGGCGAAACAAACGACCTACACGCAATCACCACTTGCCCAAATCATGAGACGGAACCAACAGCAGCAGTCAGAACTCCGACGAGGAGTGCCTAAAACAACCACAAACTGGAAGACTACGACGGCAAGCAAGCGACAACAACACAATCAGAGACGTACTCACCACAGACGAAGACGAGGACGACGACGACTAGGACGACAAAATGCAGCTGCCAGCAACCACAACCGATAACAATCATGATAGGAACATCAAGGATACAGAAAGCCACTAGGCTTAAAAATGAAGTCAAGCAGCTTCAGCAATGAGGTAATGGTTCCGCGAATCGGCGCGACAAAGGTCTCAAGCAGGGCGGGTGGGTTTAGGCTTATGGCTGCGGGGGTTTCTACTGGTCCTGCAAAGGATTGAAGCTAACGGGTTTTGTTGTGGCTGAAGAGCTGTGGTTATGTTATAGCACAGCCTCCCAAACCCTAAACCCAAAGCCCCTGCTTGAACTCCAAGCCCTAAACTTTAAACCTCTGAACCCAAAGCCCTAAACCCGAAACCGTACACTGCCACCTTAACACGACCCGCCACAAGCAACAGACCCGCTCAGGTCTTCTTGGTTGAAGGGTTCCAGGGTGTAGGTTTTAGGCTGTAAGGGCTTAGGGTTTGGGGATTTAGGAGTTTAAGGCTTTCTTTATAGGATCCTTAAGGGGGGGGTGGTTCAAGGGGGGAGGGTACTAGGGAGCTTTGGGGAACCTTAGGGAAGCTTAGGGAGTATTGGGGAATAATGGGGATTACTAGGTTACCTACCCCCCTTGGACCACCCCCCCTTAAGGACATCCTAATTTCTGGGTTGAGGCTGAAGGTTTGTGGTTTTGTTTAGGGGCTTGGTGTTCGGGGCATACTGGGCTCTCTGGTGGTTTGGGATCTAGGGTCTAGGGTTCAGGGCTTAGGGTTCAGGGTTGACGCTTTAATATCATTGAATGAGAGTTTCAGAAAGAGGCGACCCTAGCATAGACCCGGAAAGGCAATACCTAGCAGCCTTGATAACTCGAACAGGGTTTGATGGTAGAGTTTAATGCAAAACCAAAACGATGTCGTAAGGCCTCAAAGAATGATCTTGAGAACTATATACTGCTTTCAGGCTTCTATTGAAGGACAGGGAGTAAGGGACCCCGACGTCTCAAATCTCTATTCTTGGGAGGAAAGCCCAGGGGGGGGCGGCTTTGAACCACGTTTGGGCGCTGGGGCACTAAAGCAACTAGTATCCGTGTTTAAGGTTTCGGGTGAGACAGGACCCGAAGACTTATCGAGGATCCTCTAGGTATAGGAGCACAGGGACCCTTGTACAAGTAAAAACCCTGATTTATACCTGCAACCCGACATCCGAATAAACAAATGAAGCCCGCTCCACATCATTCCAAAAGCCGCTTGGCACAAGCAGAACTGCACAGAGCAATCTGATACACACCGGTGCTTCCAAAGACACGACTTTCACTACAGGGGCGTTAGAAATTTGAACAGGGTTGTGGGGCCATTTCACTAGATCTATAACAAGGAACCCCCAACATAGTATAATCATTTAGGCCAATCTTTTCCCATGAAATGTTTGTAGGGCTGACGCTTTAGCATGCCTTCCGGTATTTACAAGGTTCCGACTCCCCCTCCCGAGATGCTAGACCCTTGACAACTTATCCTAAACCCTAAAGCCTGAACCCCAAATCCTAGACCCTAGACCCCAAATCCTAAACCATAAACCCTGAACCCCAAATCCTAGACCCTATTGCAGCACCTCAGGACTCAGGAAGCTGGCAGCAGTTCGCTTCCTCCCCGCCTCTTCTCTGTCCATGACGCGGTTACCTGAGCATGTCGCATTCCGGTTGGCATACTGCTCCAACCAGGCTTCATCCACATTTCTGAACATATGAAAACTCATTTTTTAGTGGGGTTTGGGTGTATTATGACGCCGTCAGTGTACACAAGGACATCCGGGGGATCATGCTCACACGCAAGGTCATTTCGACACCCACACACACGTGCATCATATCAAGCAACCTCGCGTAGGCGCAGGGAAGACGAGATAGAAGCTTGGAAGATGAGATAGAGGCTTAGATGCACGTAGCTATATCCATGTGTATTGTGCATGTTTACGAAGTATAAGCAGTTATAGAACTGCGTAAGTGCATGCACGGAAAAAGACATGTATATCTGCATTGTGTGTGGGTGTGGGTGTGTGTGTGTGTGTGTGTGTGTCTGCGTGTGTCTGCGTGTGTCTGTGTGTGTCTGTGTGTGTCTGTGTGTGTCTGTGTGTGTCTGTGTGTGTGTGTGTCTGTGTGTGTGTGTGTGTGTGTGTGTGTGTGTGTGTTGTGTGTGTGTGTGTCTGTGTGTGTGTGTGTGTCTGTGTGTGTGTGTGTGTGTGTTGTCTGTGTGTCTGTGTGTGTGTGTGTGTGTGTGTGTGTGTGTCTGTGTGTGTGTGTGTGTCTGTGTGTCTGTATGTGTCTGTGTGTGTGTGTGCAGTTGTGCAGGTGCGTGTGCAGAGACAGACAGAGACAGAGACAGAGACAGAGACAGAGACAGAGACAGAGACAGAGACAGAGACAGAGACAGAGACAGAGACAGACAGACACAGACAGACAGACAGACACA